AAAAGCACCCTGTTCAAATTTGCTGATGACACTAAGATGTGGGGGGATGTGGGCATGTTAGAAGGAAGGAATAGGCTACAACTGGACCTAGACAGGTTACAGGGGTGGGCGGATGAGAATAGGATGGGATTCAACACTGGCAAGTGCAAGGTCATGTACCTGGGGAGGAACAACCAGCACCATACCTACAGGCTGTGGAACTCCATTCTTGTCAGTGGAGAGGCAAAAAAGGATCTTGGAGTCATCATTGATGCCAAAATGAACATGGGCCAGCAGTGTGGGGATGCAGTCAGGAAGACCAACCGTACCTTGTCATGCATCCACAGATGCATCTCAAGCAGGTCCAAGGAGGTGATCCTCCCCCTCTACGCAGCACTGGTCAGACCGCAGTTGGAGTACTGCATCCAGTTCTGGGTGCCGCACTTCAAGAGGAATGTGGACAACATGGAGAGGGTCCAGAGCAGGGCCACTCGCATGATCAGAGGACAGCAGGGCAGGCCCTATGAGGAGAGGCTACGGGACCTGACCCTGTTCCATCTCCACAAGAGAAGGCTGAGGGGGGATCTAGTGGCCATTTACAAACTAGTCAGAGGGGACCAGCAGGCATTGGGGGAGTCCCTGTTCCCCCGAGCACTACCAGGAGTGACAAGAAATAACAGTCACAAGCTGGCAGAGTGTAGATTCAGGCTAGATATCAGGAAGTGCTACTTTACTGTCAGGGTGGGTAGGATCTGGAACCTACTTCCAAGAGAAGTGGTGCTGGCTTCTACCAAGGCCCCTGCTCTAGCACACCCAAGACCTGAATTGCCTTTTGAATTGCGGCTTGCTTCTACCCTTTCGAGGTCGTTTGACCCCAGTACTCTTTCCTGCCATGCAGGGGGTCGGACTTGATGATCTGCTCAGGTCCCTTCTGACCCTACTAACTATGAAACTATGAAAAAGGAAAATTGTTGATTTAGGAAACTAGAATATAGGTTTTACCAGTGGAATGAAGGAAGATATCTTTTACATGAACTGGAGAAGGCAAAAAAGGCTAATGCAATGTATTAACAGGGGAGTAGTAAGTAGGAGTAACAAGTTAAGTTTACTTCATCATACAGCTTTAGTGAATTTGGTACTAGAAGCCGGTGTGTAGGTATGGTATCCACATTTTAAAAGGTTGTTAAGAAAAGTGGAGAGAGGCAGAAAAGAGCCACCAAAATATTTCAAAGATAAGAGAAAATGCCTCACTGTGGGCATGTCTACATGTGCATTAATGCTTACTGTGCACTAAGTCAATGCATAGTAACCGGTGCTACTGTGCAGCACAGTGAAAAGACACTTGCCTTTTTAGTGATGCTGAAGTGCAGTAGACTGTCTCCCGCACATGAGCGCAATAACATAGCTTTTTGCCGTGATGCACTAATACACAGTAGAATTAATCTACTATGCATTTAGCATCTCATGTAGACACGTCCTGTAAGAGCTTTACATAGCTCAGTCTGTTTCACTTATGTAAACGACAGCTGAGAGATTATTTGATTATATTAGATGAGTATCTTCACAAGGAGAAAATACTGGTTTTAAAGGGCTTTTCATCAAGTACAGGAGTCAATGGTTCAAAGCTGGGGCCAGACATATTCAAATGGCAAGAAAAACATAAACAAGGAGAGTGATTAACTGCTGGAACAGATTGCCAAGGAACATTTCATGATGACTTCAGATCAGGAGCACAAGCCTAAGTTATGCTTTTGTCAAATTCAAGTGGTTAGGTTCAATATGAAGACATCTAGGTAAAATTTAAAAGTCTGTAATACACAGAAAAGCACACTGGATGATTTAATGATGATCCTTTGTGCCATAAACACTGTGAACCATAAATTCAAACAAACCATTTTTGGGGAAATGTTTCCGCCATTTTGTGAAAGCCATCAGTCCTTGAATCTTTTACCATGAGCTATAAATTTTGGTTTTAATGAAAAAAAAACAACAAAACCATACAGAAATCAATGCAATTGTATTTTTAAGTAAAAGAAGAATCTTGTTCTGGAGTGGGACATTGCTTATCGGACGCTGTATGGGAAGTTACACTTAGCAGTGGAACAAAGCTTTGGGGCAGTCCTAGGCATTGCATGATGCTGTTAATTTAGAGTCCCAGCAGATGGCACTGTTTCTCAGCAATAGTTATACTTGGCAATGCCTGGGTGCATACTTCTTCTACCTTAATGTTTATTTTCCTGTGAGCAGCCCTGTAGGTATTAGAAACACTGCCATTTCAACATCTTAACTTTTGTTTGTTCTGCCTTCCATAAGTGATCTCATCAGACATGTCCATTTACTGAAAATTTCTCCTTTAATGTTTTAGGTAGACTGCAGCTGACTGGATATGAGGTTGTGAGTAATGTTCACAAATACAATCATTTCCTAAATCAGCAAGTACAGAATAAATAATTATTCACAAATTATCATTAATAACTTGCACTGCAGTGATGCTTTGAACCCTTAGTCATGGATCAGTGTCCTGTTGTACCAGGCATCATACAGGCAAAAATATGCCCCAAATAATTTAAAATCTACCTTGTGTCCTTACCAAAGAGTTAACAGTCTCAAACAGTGATTCCCGGTCAGGGTGCTGCAGCACCTTGGCATGACACAGGATCCTTTTAAGGGTGTGACAGAGTGCTGCACAATAGTAATACTGTTAGGTATGCAAATACTGGCACATGATTTCCAAGATAAACCCAGAGGTTTCAAAAAGGAATCCACACTGTCAAAAACATGCTGATCTGTCATGGTCTTTCTGAGTTCTTTGCAACAGAAGAATTCCCCTATTTTTTTCCCATAATCAAAAAAGGAAGGAAAGCTAAGAGCTGGCATTTTCTTGGGGTGCCTAAAAAGATTAAGAATTACTGCTCTAGACAGATAATGTGAATTTCAGACACAAACACAAATCAGGTAAATGGGTTACCAATCCATTAAATATATCATTTTAAACTAAACATACATTTATAAATATATAAATGTTTACATCAAGATATCTATATTTTGGTGTTATTATTGGAAGAAGGGTGCTGTTT